CGACGCTCTACTGTACAAAATCAGCCGCTATTCCGGAAAAACTATTCTGCTCCCGCTCGGGCATAAGTCCTTATTCCGGAACACTGTTCCGGAAAGGGCCAGTGTAGACAGCCCAGTAGTCTTTTCCGGAAAAGCGCGTCTACATTGGCCACAGACGCTTTTCCGGAAAAGGGGCTTTTCCGGAAAAGCAGCCTGCCAATGTAGACGCTCCTTTTCCGGAAAAACTGAAAACGGAATAGTATTCCGTTTTAAGCAGTTCCGGAAATTCATGCCAGTGTAGACACAGCCCCTATGTATAGCTCAGCCATATTGAAATTTCTTAACTTCTGGATTTCTAGGCAACAACAATGCCCAAAGCTACTTCCCCATCTGAGTTGGAGTCAAAGATGCAAAATTTTAGTTTCAGCAGCTTGCATCTTTGTCACAGACTTCTTGTGTGACTTTTTCTTGGACAAATCATTTATTCTTTGTCCATTCCCCATTTGTGAAATGGGACTAATGCTACTTTTTTCTTGCCTTTTGTTCATCTGGTCTGTTTAGACTGTAAATTCTTTCAGACAGGGATTCTCCCAGATTTTGTGTGGTAACTATCTCAGTTAGGACGTGATCTCAGTTTGGGACTTTAGGCTCCACATCAATAAAAATAAGTGTTCTCAATGGGAATACACTAGAAGGCCCCTGGAAAAATTTAGCTGTTACAGAGGATACTGTGTGCTTGATTAGCAGGTTGTTTTATGGGGATTATGTTACATCTGTGCTCCAAGATCTGTACTGGCTGGCTGTCAGTTTCTGGTTCCAGTCCAGTGGTTTGGGAATGCTTCTTCCCCTGCACAGATGATGTTAGATGAGGCGCTTAGGTAGCCCCAGGTTTTCCCAGAAATTGGGTGCAGGCAGGGTATTCCCCCTAAGGGGCTCTTGATATTAGGATTTGCTTCTTTCTTTGACTTGACATGACCCAGGTTTGTAGACCTTCAAGAAGCTCTGGAAGGCCCACCTGTTCTTTTGAGTAGGGGGAGAGGCATGAAGGAGCATGTAAGTCTGCAGATTAAGTATTAATAGTTGGGTACTGATGCTCTTGATGGATGAACTGATACAAATTAGACTGCTCTTTAGTCAGTCTCTTTTGTTCATAATATAGAATTCTGGTTTCTGAAAAAAGATGTATATAATATAAATCCAAGGATTTTGTACTGCTGTTGGTTAGAGCCCTTGGTCACCATATTTGGAGAAAATACACACTAGAGTTAAGCTGCAATGTGTACAGCAGACTGTCAGTTGAGTGAAGGGGACTTAAGTGTAAGGAATATGTGAATCTGAACATTCCCTTCCTCTCCCAAAGTTCCCTCTGAAGTCACTGGGATTCTTGCGTAAGCAAAGCTTGCAGGATCATGTCCAATATTAACTATGCAATGATGTATAAAAATATATAACTTCAAGAAGAGCCAAAATCTCCTCTTTCATTCATTTTTCATCAAGGTAGAATTTTTTTCCAGATGACAATAGCAACCAGAGTTCAATAGCTGATGCATCTCCAATAAAACAGGAGAATAGTAGTAACTCAAGTCCAGCACCTGAGCAGAACTCAGCAACACAAGCAGATGGCACTGAAGTAAAGTCTGATGAAACTCAAGCAGATGCAAAGGAGCAACCTGGTTCAGAAGGTAATACATATAGATGTATCTCGTGCCTGCAGCTTTTCTAATAGGAAGCATTAGTTTAAATGAATGCTTACATTCAACATTCTTGGTAAGAAAGAAGCTAAAATAATAAAACTGGAACAGAGTGACTGGCATTGATACAAAACACAACCATCCATTCTTTCAACACAACAAAACAACAACTACAGCTCTCAAAACAACTCACAAATAAAACACGATGAGTTGTAACAGACCACGTGTTATTAACTCTTTAACTTCTCCATAATCATGTGGCTTAAGTCTTCTAAACTTCATTGTAGTAATGTTGTGTAAATCAGAGTAAAAGTCCTTGGTATGTAAGTATTTCATTTATGTACTTAAAAGTCCTATTGACTTCACAGGGAGCAAGAGCAGGTTTGAACTAAATTACAAAATTAATTACTTCCATGAGAATTCTACTGACTTCAGTAGTAGCTGTCCCAGTTCTGAAATCTTTACTGCGTCTATATGCTTTGCGGTTCCAAAACAGATAGTGGAAAATATTTTTCTGCTTGGTTTTATACCTTAGAGCAGTGGTCACCAACCAGTAGCTCAGGATCTACTGGTCGATCCTGGAGCCTCAGACAGGTGATCCTGCCTGGTTGGCCAAGAGGTTATCAAGTGCTGGC